ATGTCAATGGGTACAACCACTATGGAAAACAGTATGGAGGTTTCTCAAAAAACTAAGAATAGAATTACCATATGCCCAGCAATACCTCTTCTGTATATCTACCCGCTAAACCTGTAAACACTTATCTGCAAAGATATATGTCTCCCAATGTTCATAGCAGCATTATTCATGGTGGCCAGAACATGGAACCAACCAAAATATCCCACAATAGATGATTAAAGATGTGGTACATACAGACAATGGAATATTATTCAGCCATAGGATGAAATACTGCCATTTGCAGCAACATGGATGGATCTTGAGCTAATCATGCTAAGCAAAATACATCAGACAGAAAAAGTCGAGAACCATATGATTTCACTCATATGTGGGATGTAAAACCGAAAGTAATGAACAAACATGATAGAGATTCATGGACACAAATAGTGGATTAGTAGTCACCAGAGGGAAGGTGGGGAGCAGGTGGTAGACAGGGGTAAAGGAGGTTAAATAATTGATAATGAAAGGAAATTAACTTTGGGTGATGAACACATAATGCAATATACATATGACATATTGTTGAATTGTACACTTGAAACTTATTTGATTAACCCATGCTACCCCAAAAATTTTAATTAAAAAATGCAAAAAAAAAAAAAATGCAGTGAAGTTGCAGGATATAGAATCAACATATCCTGCAAATGAATTGCATTTCTATACATCAACACTGAGATATCTATCTGAAAAAAAAATTGCATTCACAACAGCATCGGATATGATAAAATTCTTAGGAATAAATTTAATCGAGGTGATGAAAGATCTGTATATTGAAAACTATAAAACTTTGATTAAAGAAATTGGAGATGAATAAAAAATGGAAAGATGTCATGTGTTCATGAATTGGAAGAATTAATATTGTTACAATGTCCATACTGCCCAAAGAGGTCTAGATTCAACGCAATCTATCAAAATTCCAATGGCATTTTTCATGGAAATAGAACAATCCTAAAATTGTGGAACCACAACAGACCCTGAATGTCCAAAGCAATCCTGAGAAAGTATACTAAAGTTGGAGACATAGCACTTCCAGATTTTGAACTATATTCCAAAATTATAGTACTCAAAATAGTATGGTATTGTCATAAAAAACAGATGCATTATCAATATATTAGTAGAGAGCTCAGAAACAAACACATGCATACATGGTTAATTTATGACAAAGGAGCCAAGAACACACAATGAGGAAAGGACAGTCTCTTTAATAAATGGCGGTTTGAAAACTGGACATCCACATGCAGAAGAATGAAAATGGATCACTATCTTATGCCATACACAAAAAACAACTCAAAATGGATCAAACACTTGAGCATAAGACCTAAAACCATAAAATTAGTAGAAAACATAGGCAGTAAATTCTTTGACATTGGTCTTGGTTATGATTTTTTTTGGATTTGACACCAAAAGTGAAGACCACAAATACAAAAATAAACTAGTGGACTATGTCAAACTAAAAACCTTCTGTGAAGCAAAGGAATTCATCAAAAAAACAAAAAGGCAACCTACCAAATGGAAAAAAAAAATTTGCAAATCATGTATCTGATAAGTGGTTAATACCCCTAAAATACGGAACTCACACAATTCAATAGCAAAAATGCAATCTGATTTTTAAAATGGGTAGAGGATCTGAATAGACATTTTTTCAAAGAAGAGATACAGATGGCCAACAGATAGATGAAAAGGTACTCAACATAATTAATCATCAGAGAAATGCAAGTCAAAACCACAATATATCACTTCACAATTGTTGGAATGGCTACTATTAAAAAGACAAAAAACAAGTATTAATGAGGATGTGGAGGAAAGGGAACACTTGTGCACCATTGGTAGAAATGTAAATTGGTGTCTCCACTATGGAAAACAGTATAGAGGTTCCTCAAAAAATTTAAAATGGAACTACCATATGATCCAGTATCCCACTTCTGGATATATACCTGAAGGAAATGTAATCAGGATATCGAGATGTCTGTACTCCCATGTTCACTGCAGCATTATTCACAATCACCAGTATATGGAAATAACCTAAGTATCCATCTACAGATGAATAAAGAAAATGGGAGATATATATACACACACACAGGAATATTACACGCACATACAGGAATATTATTTAGCCATGCGAAAGAAGGAAATCCTGCCATTTGTGACAACATGGATGGACCTTGAGGGCATTATGTTAAATAAAATAAGTTAGAGAAAAATAAATACCATATGATAACACTTATATGTAGAATCTAAAAAAGTTGAAATTGTAGAAACAGAGAGAAGAAGAGTAGTTGCCAGGGGTTGGGGGCTGAGGAAATTGGGGAGACATCAAAGGGTACAAACTTCTAGTTATAAGTTCTGGGGATGTAATGTACAGCATGGTGACTATAGTTAACAATATTGTGTTAAATATTTGAAAGTTGCTAAGAATATTGGGGCCAAATGTTCTCACCACAAAGAAGAAATGGTAATTATGTGAGGTGATGGAAGTGTTAACTAACCTTACTGTGGTAATGTATAAGTGTCTCAAATCAATACAATGTACATCTTAAATTTATACAACGGTACGTCAATTACATTTCAATAAAGCTGGGGGAGCAGGGAAACTGGGCAAACAAGGACATTTCTCCAAGGATTAATACAAATGACTAATAAGTACATGAAAAGATACTCGACATCACTAATCGTTAGAGAATGCACATCAAAACCATAATGAGATACTACTGCATACCGCGTAGGGTGGCTATTGTCAAAAAAAAGGGGCGGGGCAAATAAGTGTTGGTGAAGATGTGGAGAAATTGGAAGCCTTATGCACTACTGGGGGGAATGTAAATGGTGTAGCCACGGTGAAAACAGTATGGTTCCTCAAAAAGTTAAGCATAGTATTGCCATATGATCCAGCAAATCCAGTTCTAGGTATATGCCCAAAAGAACTGAAAAGAGAGACTTGAATGAATATCTGTGCACCAATATTCATAGCAGCATTATTCACAATAAAGTATTGATACATGCTATAATATGGATGAAACTTGAAAACATTATTGTAAGTGAAACAAGCCACACACAAAAGGCCAAATATATATGATCCCATTTCTATGAACTATCTAGACTAGGCGGATTCATAAGGACAGAAGTAGAACAGTGGTTGCCAGAGGATGGGGCAATGGGGAATTATTGGTTAATGTATATAGAGTTTCAATTTGGGATGGTGAAAAAATTCTGGAGATGGATGGTCATGAGAGTTGAACAACATTGTGAATGTATGTAATGCCACTGCATTGTACATTTTAAAATTGTTAAAATGCTGTTTATTGTTATACATGTTTTACCACAAAAAATTTAAGATATCAAAAAATGGGGAAAATACTATTAATAGCTCTAGTAACAATTGTGTCAGCAGAAAAATCCTCAAAATTAAAACTTATCAAATATTATCTGTGATTTTGCATTTGCCAAAGGCAATTGACATTGCTCTCAATGATATGAACTGAAAATGAAGTTAATAAAAGTATAAATTTTGGTGACCTAATAAATGAATTTACTGGAAAGCAAGTCAGAAATATCTTATAATCAATCAAGATATCACATATTAATAAGGCACTACATATTGTACTAAATAAATTATACACGAATATTTTTGTAATTTGTAAGTTTATATTGTTACTCAGTTATCACTATTATCCCAATATATTTTACAAGTAATAAAACATTTTAGTTCCTTTAATGGCACTTTTTCTTGATTTTTTAAAAGGAGCTCCACACTTTCATTTTGACTGAGTCATTTAACCTTTGTAGCTCAGTTTTCTCACCTCTCAAATGGCTATATTTATTCTGCTTTGTAGAACTGATGTGGAAATACATACCTACACCCATGCGTGGTGGTCTGAAAAGTATAGATACTTTAAAACATTGGTGGTACTGTTGTTCATACGAAATATTTTTAACCACTACCCTTTTTGGAGTCTGAGTCTTTAGACAAATACATCTCTTATCTAAAATGAAGAAATCTAATTCATCATTTTCTATGGAGCTTTCCAGACTTTTGAGAGAGAAGCTAAATGACTCATTTGGTCCATAAAGTTATTGTTTTTATAGGCTACTGATTTCACAATGGAATTCATTTCTTTAAATGACTAAAAGCAAAGTGTAAACTGAAAGTGATGTCAAAACACGACTTCAGTGAACATTTTTAAAGCCTAAAATTTCAGTCTATGGCAACATGCCTGATCTCGTCTGATCTCAGAAGCTAAGCAGGGTCAGGCCTGGTTAGTATACTTAGATGGGGGACCACCTAGGAATACCAGGTGCTGTAGGCATTAAAAAAATAAAACAAACAAACAAAGCGAGCCTAAAATTTCAAATAGTGTTTCTGATAAACTCTCTGACTTTTAAGCAACTCAACAGTAAAACACTAGGAGAGCTGAGTTCTCCCAGTACCATTCCTGGGCGATTTGTAGATATCACACAAAAATGCCCCAGCACTAGGCTGGCTACAGTGATGAGCTCTGCCAGATTATTGTCACAGTCTGACAATAAATATCCTGACCATTGGTACAGGTGACACGGTTAACCCACTGTCACTGAGGTTTCCCTGAATCCTTTATATATCCTCTGAATCTCTCTAGAGACTATATGTAGGTGACTGGCTTAGGGCTGCAGCTAGGACCCTAGTTCAAGCTCTCGGGTCAAAAGCCTGGCCTTGAAAGGCCAAACTTGTCACTGATCAACAGGTTAACAAGCCAGTTGGGGTAGAATCCCTATTGCTGCATGCACTGCTCATGCCTTCTAGAAGTTGACCAACATCTCCCTCCTCCAGAACTGTGGAATCTACTTTGAAATGTTCTCTCTCACTAGCCATCCCTCCCACTGCCTAACCTTTGCCCTTTCTAATTGCCCTGATCTCATCCCAACCTCCATAGCTATGTTTAAAGTCCACCTCTGGTGAACACACAGATCGAGTGCTGCAGATAACCCCTTCCCAGTTCTGCCCGACATCAGGCCGGCGGACTATGTAACTGGGTTTTCCAGGACGGTGGCTGGGGCTTGAGGAGAGACACCTACCTGGCTACAGGATGAAGCTAGCCACCAGCTTCTTGATTTTGTGGCTCAGCCTCGGGCATGGCCTGGCACAGAGCGACACCAGCCCTGATGCAGAGGAGACCTATTCAGACTGGGGCCTTCGGCACATCCGGGGCGGCTTCGAATCTGTCAACAGCTACTTTGATTCCTTTCTGGAGCTGCTGGGTGGGAAAAATGGAGTCTGTCAGTACAGGTGCCGATACGGTGAGTGCACTGTTTCTTTTCCTGTAAAAACTATTGCTGGTGGACCTGGGAAGGGCCAGCACGGGGTCATGATCGGTCATGCACTTTTTTGCTACCATCCACCTGTTAGGTAGGGTTGCCAGATTAAGCAAATGAAAATATAAGACACCCAGTTGAAATATTTGGGACACACTTATATTGACAAGTTATTGGTGGTTTCTCTGAAATCCAAATTTCACTGTGCTTCATGTATTTTATCTGGCAAACCAACTCCAAGAGGTTTTTGGAGACTTGTTTCCTGGGGACATTTTAATGAGCTTTCCTTATGATGATACTTCAGGAAAAGGCAGCATGGGTGGGGAGGAAGAAGATGAGAGGTCTGTGCAAGGAGGAGTTCCTAGGGATGAAAACTGAAGCTGAACGGTCAGAGAAACTTCTGCCAGGGGTGAAACAGCCTCCTCAGTCACTCTGTGCTGAGCCTGGAAGTGGATTCCTCTTCTTTCCTATGCTGTTTGCACCTTCCTTCCAGCTTTGTCAGTCTTTAATGAGCATCAGTTTTCTGACTCTCCACAGAGAGCTGTCCCTCCTGCCGATGCCTCAGTCAGTGATGGCAGGCCTTCGGTGGGTAGGCAGGGCTTGCAGCCAGCCCATCAGGGATCAGGGCCTGAGGGGGCCTGGGACTGCCCTCAGGCCTGATGTCAAAAGTAGAGTTGTGAACAGGTAGGAGCACTACCTTGCCTCAGTTGTAAACAGGATATCTGGGAGCCAGGGTGTGGGCCTGGCTGCCAAAGAGGAACCCCTGGGGCCAGTTCTTCACTTTGCACTGGAAATCCACGTAATGGGGGCACAATACAGAGCCCTGGACCTTGCAGCTGGGTGGAAGGGGGAACCTTCAAGAGCATACAGTCTCCTATAGCATTGGTTTTATGGTTTATCAAGTGTTTCATCATGAGATTAGAGATAAAAATGGAGAGTCAGTTTAGCCTATCAGGAAAACAGTGAGAAATGTTTTCTCCTAACATTCAACAGATAGAACTCAGCTTTGAGAGAGACTCAAAAGAGCTATATACCTGTAGACTCACCCAGTCTCCCTCATTCTCTTTTGCAAAAGAAATTGCTTCCTTGTAAACTGAGAGTGACTAGGAGACAATGGTTAACCATTTCTCCAGAACCAAAGTTTTGCAGCATAGAAATTTGAACCACATACTGATATCGTGAAAAAGGAAGCTGCATCCTCTCTGTGAAGATTCCACAGGGTAAAAAACCTGGACTATGCTAGGACCCACCTGGATCCCTAGCCATGTCTTTGTCCAAAGTAGGTTGGACAAAAGCAGAGATGCCTGGTCACTGGACTGTGCTCACCTAGTTTGTACACATGGGGAAGGAAAGGAGTAAACTTGCTTCAGATGTCAACACAGGGGCTCTTTTCCTTCCCAGAGGCAACGCAAGATTTAGGTCTGTGGTTCAGCAACTAGATAACAGCGGGAATTTTTTAGGAAAACAAGAATCAAACCTCTTCTTCCTTCTTTAACAAAATAGCATTAAGAGATTTCAGCAAATTCTGGTTGCAAGCCTCTACCTGGGCAGGGTTGGTGTCAGCAGACACTGGTGGGGGATGGGAATAGTCAACACAGAGATTGCAGGAAGGTAAATAACTCCACTCACTCTGCAAAACAGAACCTGTTTAAGGAGGGGCCCGAAAAACAGAGGAAAGTCTTGTTACCTCTGGAACCCAGTGGAGCCAAGAACCTGGAGGCAGTGCCCAAATGGTTCCAAATATCTTCTCAAGTTGATCGTGAATCAAGCATTCTTTAGAACAGATAACGCCTTGTAATGAACTGGGTCCTTGTGTTTTCAGTTCGCTTTGTGATACACTTCTTGCGCACAACGCTTCTCTCATCTCTTTAAAGCAGCGGTTCTCCAACTCGCCTGGGCTTTAAATCCTGTTGGAGGGCTTGTTTAAACAAACTACTGGGCCCCTATCCCTGGTGTTTCTGATTAGGTCGGTCTGGGGTGAGGCAGGAATTTGCATTTCTAAGAGTTCCCAGGTGATCTTGGTGCTGCTGGTCCTGGGACCATACTTTGAGGAAAAAAAAAAAAAAGCTTTATAAGCTGCAATTTTTTGCCAGCAGGAGCAATTTAGCCACAATTATTCTACAAGAAAAAAAATTTTCTATTTTATATGTACTTACTACTACCAATCATACCTCAGAGATGTGGGTTTGGTTCCAGACAACTGCAATAAAGTGAGTATCATGATAAAGCGAGTTGTAATCTTTTTGCTGGGGAGGGTATTGCCTTCAATTTGTAAAAAAACACAACACCTGTGAAGTGCAATAAACTGAAGTATGCCTGCCTGTACTTAAAACAGTGGTTCTCTACCTAGGCCCTCCACTTAGAATCACCTGGGGATGGGGGGAGTGCTTTAAAAACTCCTGCCACCCAAACCAATTAAATCAGAGTCTCCATGGGTCTGACTCAGACATGAGTATTTTTTTTTTAAACAGGGCAGCAGTCCTCACAGACAGGAAGCAGTGGGGTGTACCCAGAGTTCCCAAGACACAGTCTGTCAGCCAGTACCTCATCATAATCTTACTTTCCTCTTGCCTTCGGGAGCAATACTTAACCCCCTTTCCCTTTTCTTCCAATTTAAGAGGTCATTCTTAGAGAACTTCAGCCTCTAGTTTGTTCAGACAAGTAAAGATGTGTATATTGGTAGCCTACGATAGTGTGTCCACATTGTTTTCTACACTTCTTTAATCTATAGTAATTCGTTTTTCTGTCAACACACAAAATCTAGTCAAAGGATCGAACTCTAAATATAAGGAGATTTAGCACATATCAATAACATACACAGTACAACTAGTATAAGGGGTTCACACCTATGTGAACGAGTTTCTCTCTCCCATCCAGAGATTCTGATTCAGTAGGTCTGTGGCAGGACCCTGGAACTGCACAGGTGGTCCTTGGACCAGACTTAGAAAAATACTAATAACGGAAAAAATATGGCTTTGAATTGGGCAGTTTGGTGGGGAATCCCACTGCTGGTGACCTTAGGCAAGTAACCTAACTTTCTCAACCTTCCATTCCTCATGTTTATAAATAATGTTACTAATACCTACTTTGCAAGGTTGTAAAAATTAAAGATAATAAAGGACTAGTGCTATGTATGGAGCGCGGCAGGTACCAAACAAATTTTATAAACGTGATGTAAAAGACGGTCTGGTGAATAAGTTAACATACGTTCAGATTCTTCCAGTTCTCTTTCAGCATGAAATAACAAAACAGAACAAAACACAAAAATCCCAGTGGCTGAACAATACCCTCTCAGCTCCTGGAAGAAATCATCGAATTCTGACTTAAGTGTTCTGTGCCTTTATAAAGGTCTCTGGAGCTGGGTCTCTAGAGCAGAATGTCTGTTTCTTATAAATCATGACTAGAGATACTGTCCACACTGTCATACTTTGAATATTTCATGCCAACTCCTTCCATCTTGCAAAATTTCTGTTGAGAAATCAGCTGTGTGAGTCCTATGGGAGCTCACTTTGTACATAACTAACTGATTTTCTCCTGCTATTTTTAAGATTTTCCCTTTGTCTTTAACTTTTGGCATTTGTGCTAATTTTGGTACACTTGATATTGTCCCAGAGGCCCCTTAAACTAGCCTAATTTTTTTGGATTCTTTTTTTCTGATTGGGTGTTTTCTGTTTTCTTATATTCTAAATCGCTGATTCACTCCTCTGCTTCATCTAATCTGTTGATTCCCTCTAATGTATTCATTTTATTTCGTATATTCTTCATGTCTCACTGGTTCTTTTAAAAGTTCATATCTCTATTTTCATGTTTCCTATATCTTTGTTAACATTTTCACTGAGTTCATCTACTCTTTCTCTAAGTTCCTTGATTATAACAAGTGTTTTGAACTCTGCATCTGGTAGATTACTTGTCTCCATTTTTTTGAGTTCTTTTTCTGGAGCTTTGTTTTGTTCTTTTATTTGGGACTTGTTTCTTTGTTCCCCATTTGGCTGCTTCCTATGTATTAGGTAGGGCTCTTATGCCTCCTGTTCTTAGGAGAGTGACCTTATGTAGTAGGTGTCCTGTGGGGCCTAGTGGAGCACCTGAACTGGGTTACCAGGTGTGTCCCTCTTATGGATTGTGTGTGCCCTCTTGTTGTAGTTAAGCCTTAGTTGCTGTTTGCATATCATTAGCGGGGATTGACTCTTGGGTTGATTAGTTGTGAAGGTTGGCCAGTGACTATAGTAGAAGAGCTGTTGTGCAGGGGCTGACCCTACAGAGTAGGATTCACTTTAGCAGGCTCTGGTACCTGCCCAGTCTGTCATCTTTGAGTCTGTCATCCTCGGATGTAGCCCCAGGTAATGCTCTGCCTCAGTCTGAAGTGGGCCACCAGACATGTTGGCTCTGGGACCCCCTGGGAGGGGCCCCACCACAGTTCAAGTATAGCTGCAGATTGTGCCCTGCCTGGGGCCACCTGGCATGAGCCACCAAGCAATCTGCAGATGGCCACCACCTATGCTGAGCTTGGATGTTCCTTGAGAGGCCAAGCTGAGAACTAAGGCCGGCTGCTGCTAGTGCCAGGCTTGAGGTTGTTCAGCCAGAGGTATGAAGCACACGGAAGCCAGATCCTGCTTATTTGGGGTTTGTGAATCTTTGAGAGGTTTTAGGAAAGTTGCAGCATAAGCCAAGATGGACCATTTGCATGGAAAAGCCACTGAAAGCGGTTTGGGTGGGCCTGCAATTTGGGTGGGGCAAGGTGTCAGGGAATCACCAGGGCAGGGTGAACAGAATTAGCCAGGCAGGTAGAGACTCAAAAATGGCAGCCACCAACGTCTGCATGCTGGGTGGGGGAGAGGCCCAACTAAGGTACAGTGACTTTTGCCAGCACTTCTGTCTGGGAGAAAGCTGCCCCTCCAGCACTTTCCCTGAAGCCAGACAATTCAGTTCCTCCCCATATGCCCCTGGCATCTTTTGAGCTACTGCCCCAGCACAGGAGCTCAGAGTGAGTGAGTTGGTTAGCGAGTAAATATGCACATGGGCCCTTTAAGAGAAGCTCCTAGAACTCCCACGGCCCTCCATCTCACTCAGCCATGATCTCCACTGGTTTTCACAGCCATAAATCTTAAGAACTTCTCTTCCTGGCACTAGAACCTGAGCCGAGGAGCCCAGTGTGAGGCTTGACCTCTTGCTTCTCTGGGAAGACCTCTGCAGCCAACATATTCCTCCCAATTTTTAAACGTCACACTTGGTTGTGGGACCAGCCTATTTTGCATCTCTACCCCTTCTACCAGTCTGGTGGTGGCATCTCCTGTATATCCTTAGATGTAGAGCTTCTGTTCAACTAGACTTCAGGAGATTCTCTGTGATGGTTGCTCTGTAGTTTAGTTGTAATTGTGATGTGGTCATGAGAGGAGGCAAACACAGCATTTACCTACTCTGCCAACTTGACCAGAAACTCTGTATCACACAGTTTCTGAGAGTCAGGAATTTTAGAGTCACTCTGCTGGGTAGCTGTGGCTCTGAGTTTCTCATAAGGTTGTAGTCAGCTGATGCTGCAGTCTCTGAAGATTTGACTGAAGCTGGAGGATGTCCTTCCAAACTCATATGGCTGTTGGCAGAAGGCTTTAGTTCCTTGCCACATGGACCTTTCCATGGGGCTATTTGTGACATGGCTTCTCCCAGAGTGAGTGATGACAGAGAATGACAGAGTGTGCAAGCCCAAGATAGACGCTGTAGTCTTTTATGACCTAATCTTGGAAGCTGTGTACCTCCGCTTCTGCCAAATTCTCTTGGTCACACAGACAATCCTGGGACAATACACAAGCATATGAATACCAGGAGATAGGGATCATTGGGGGCAATCTCGGACCACCCTCTTATGCACATGTTGTACCACAGCAACAAATACCCAAACTGACTGCGACAGAAATTGCTTGTTTTCCTCTAATATCCTTCCCCTTTTCTGTAATAATATGCCCCTCCTCCCAACTTTAAGGCTCATTGGATGCCTCCTTTAGATGCCTCCATTGTCCACCTTTACAACTAAGTGCTGCCATTTGATTAAGGTCTGGCCAAAGGGAAGTAAGTAATGTAGGGTGTTTATCGAAGAGAGGGTCTGTGACCCTTCTTTGTCCTTCTTCCATCCTGCTGCTTTTAAAATAGATGTGTTAGATGAAGCTCCATCTTGAATCATGAGAGCCAGGGCTATATTCTAGGGCTGGTAGAGCAAAAAGTTAGAAGCAGTCTGGCTTCCAGAAAAGTACAGATTTACTATACCAGCCATATGATCTTTAATTCTGAATTTTTATGAGCTATCCCACCTTGTGTAAGCATCTGAATAGTCCAGTATGTAGGAGATATAGTAGATATATGGAGAAAATTATAACACTCTACTGAAGAACCTAAAGGAAGGCTAAGTAAATGGAAAGCTATCCTATGTTTGGGAAATATAGAATATACTAAGAAAGTCAGCTATCTCCAAATTAATCTATTAATTCAATGTATGTTCAAGCAAAATCCTGACAATCTCTTATAGAATATACTGAGTTGACTCTAAAATTCATATGTAAGAATAAAGGTCCAAGAGTAATCAAGACAATTTTGAGGAATAATAGGAAGGAGGGCTTTAGAACATAGACTTAAAAATTCAAACAGAAAGACAGAATGAAAAGGGGCTCCAAATGTACTTGTAACATTTAATTAAACAGAAAAAAATATATATAGCAAGTTTGGCAATGTTAACCTTTATTGTGTTTGTGTAGTGGCTTCACGAGCATTTGTTTTTGATTTTTCTTCAGTTTTGAAATATTTCATAATAAAAATAATTAAAAGTAAAATACCTGGTAGACGAAGATTAAAGAAAAGAAAGAAAATGTCATGTGCCTCATTCTGAGGATTAATTCTTAGCATATTTCCTCAGTCTTATGCTATGTCTTGCATCTACTAAAAAGTGGTAAAGGAGTGTAGAAAAAGAACACGGGCTTGGGAATCAAACAGGAAATCTGGATTTACATCCTACTTCCCCTACTTACTATATGACTTAGGGAAGTTACCCAACCTCTTAGCCTCATTTTTCTTATCTGGATAGTGGGACAAAACTACTCACTGGAGATGACTGTCCTGAGATCATTTTAGGACTTCATTCAAGGTTATCTTTATCTATGATGACTACCATTGACACAACTGACAAAGCTTCCTTCTATGTATTTGCAAGATCATAAAATAACTAAAAAGCTATGTAGGAAAAACCAAGAAATTCAAAACTTTTCAGATAGTTTCTGCTCAGTTCTTTGATAAAAATGCCTAAAATATTGCATAGGAGTGTTTTCTTTGTCCTTTGATCAATAATGCTTTGCCTACATTTATGGAATCTTGCACAATTTCCTTCAAGTTGTTCTGAAAAAAAAATTCTGTGGTACTGTTATAATTCTGATTCCTGAAGTATATATGATCAGGCAGTGTTCTCTTTTTCTGTGCAAAGAGTGTGGCATTACTGTGGATAGAGGAGTAAGAAACCTTGAATTTTAGTTTGGTTTTGCCATGGACCTTATCTTCTAGGTCATGCACTTAAGAAATGTTAGAATTGTTAGTAAATGAACGCTCATGAAATTCTTTGCTATTAGGTGAAAAATTCCAAACTTGTCCAAGGGTTATTACTCTTTTATGACATCATCATCATTACCATAATCATGATGTAATTTAGATGTGACTGTCTGAGGAACAATGACTTGAAGAAAAAATCATGATGTAATTTAGATGTGACTATCTGAGGAACAATGACTTGAAGGAAAAATCAAGTATACTTTTAGATAATTTTTGTTTGATGAAGTTTCCCAAATGCTCAATTCTGCTTCTTTCCTTTCTTTCTCCTAATAGGAAAGGCACCCATGCCCAGACCTGGCTACAAGCCTCAGGAGCCCAACGGCTGCAGCTCCTACTTCCTGGGTCTCAAGGTACCAGAAAGTGTATGTATCACCACCATTATTTTCTTAGTTGATCTCTTTTATCTAAGACAAATCCAAGAGTTATCATTGATGGAAGTGATTACTTAAATGGAATTAGTTAAGCAATATACTTATTTCAAATTGGGTACAGAGGAAGGGAGATAATTTTTTTTTAAAGTATGTGAGTTCCTTTTCTCAGAGGCAGCTATCCCTCAAATAAGACCTTTGAAATCACTGCTGCAAACATCAGCCGAGCTTTAGGAATCCAACATAACTTAATATGAAACAGATCTGAGAAGTTTGACTTATTTAAGTTCATGAGCCTAATTTAAAGTGCTGTGCTGGAGCCAGCTTGTACTGACCAGTGAGAACTGATGTCTATAGTATTGTTAAGACTTTTCATGTTGATAGCATCAAATCAGCTATGTTTGGGGTATTAACATCATAGAAATCTGCAAACACCTACCTTCCCAACCTTCTTGCTCACATACACATCCAGCCGCTGGCTAAACATTTATCATCACACTGCTAACCATTTCTCAAACTGTCAGCCTCCCTTAAAAACAAGTAATAAATTGATTCCGGGGAAGATGGTGGACTAGGTAAAAGTAGGGTTAGTCTCCCTCCAGGTCCACATTGAAATTACAATCAAATTATAAAATAATCAATGTGGAAAATCACCTGAAGTGCAGCTGATCATAACACCTACATCTGATAATATAAAGGAGCCTCATCGAAGCTGGTAAGAGGGGCAAAGTCACAAATCGAGCTGGAGCCGCACCCGCGGGTGATGGAGGATCACCAGGAGGGAGAGCGAGGCTGCAGAGGCTCTCTTGAGGGAGAGGGGGGTTCTGGTCTCATCTGGGGGCTCTCTAGCAAAGGGTCCCAGCCCAGGGAAAAGGAGATTCCAATAACTCTGACTGTAGAAACTAGAGGGAAATTCTAGCCATCTGGGTAAGATGGAAGGAGACTGAACCCCCTAGCCATCCCTCTGAAGGACCCGCAACAAGGCTTTCTGACCTGCGGACACTCACCTGGGATGCCGGCGGTGGGTCAGAGGCTCGTGTGGGACTCATTCTGAGAAAGTCTGCATTACCTGGCATCAGAACGAGGGCTGGAAAGGCAGCCATCATTGTGCCTTAGTCCAGTCCCCCTACAGGGTAACCTACAGACCATGTCAGCTTAATTGTGCAGACCCTTCCCACAGAGCCATTAGGAAGCACTGGTCAGAGGGGATCAGCCTGCCCCGCTCAACTTGTAGAGTGCCTGGGAAAGTTGTTGCTTCATGGCTGCCAAGCCCTGCTCCAATTCAGGGCCAAGTATTCACAGCAGGCTGCCAGTGCTGTGATTGGTGTTTTCAATCCCAGCAACAGTGGCCACCACTGCGAACCACATTTCCAATCCCAGTGGGCAACCAGTGCTGTGAGCTGCATTTCAGAGACAGAGTCAGGCAGATCACTGCTGCCATCATGGACTTGGGCGGATATCGAGGATCTGTGGGCTAGTCTCAGCTAGCAGCTGGTCTTGCTGTGATCTGGGACTTCTGCAGGAACTCACAACAGTTACTAAATTTGCAGCAAGGCTGAGGCTATATTGATCTGACTGCCATTGTTTCTCTGAGACTCCGCTCCACCCAACCTGCAGATTGCCCAGGGCAGGTGTTTCTGGATGGATGCTAAGCCCTGCTCCAATTCAGGACCGAGCATTCACAGCAAGCTAGCAGTGCTGTGAGAGGTGTTTCTAATCCCAGCAAGAGTGGCCAGCACTGTGAACAACATTTCCATTCCCAGGGGACAACCAGAGCTGTGAGCTGCATTTCAGAGTTCCAGCATAGGCAACAACCATCAGTGGATCGCTTTATAGTTCTCAATGGGTAGCCCTGAGCAATCAAAAGCAGCAGCTGACCTTGGCCTATGGGGGAACCCCTCCCAAGGGGCCACAAAACCAACGCATCTAGAGGCTGGCACCCAACTCATCAAGGAAAAACGAGAGAAGATTCAAATAAATAAAATCAGAAATGAAAAAGGAGAAATAACCATGGACTCCACAGAAATACAATAGATCACAATAAAATACTACGAGCAATTATATTGCAACAAATTGGACAATCTGGAATAAATGGACACATTCCTAAAAATTTACAATCTTCCAAGACTGAGTCAAGAGGAAACAAAATCTGAACTGACTGATTATGACCAATGAAATAGAATCAGTAATCAAAAACCTCTGAAAAAACAGAAGTCCTGGACCAGATGGCTTCATAGGTGAATTTTACCAAACATTCAAAGAATTATCACCTATTCTTCTCAAACTATTCCAAAAAATTCAAGAAGAGGGAAGGCTCCTTAACTCCTTTTATAAGGCCGCCATTACCTTGATTCCAAAAATAGGCAAAGACATTACAAAAAAAGAAAACTATAGGCCAATATCTCTTATGAACATTGATGCTAAAATCCTCAACAAAATATTAGCAATACATTAAAAATATCATACGCCATGATCAAGTTGAATTTATTCCTGGGACGCAAGATTGGTTCAATATCTGCAAGTCGATTAATGTGATACACCACATTAACAAATCAAAAGATAAAAACCATATGATCATATCAATAGATGCAGAAAACACATTAGACAAAATCTAACATCCATGATAAAAACTCTCAGAGCAAAGTGGGAATAGAGGGAACATACCTCAACATAATAAAGGCCATATATGACAAACATATAGCTAACATCATACCCAATGGGGAAAGGCTAAAAGCATTTTCCTTAAGATCAGGAACAAGACAAAGATGCCCACTTCCACCACTCCTCTTCAACATTGTATTGGAAGTCTTAGTCACAACAATAAAACAAGAAAGAGAAATAAAAGGCATCCAAATTGGAAAGGAAGAAGTAAAACTCTCATTATTTGCTGACGACTTGATGCTATATATAGAGAACCCTAGAGATTCCACCAAAAAACTGTTAAATCACATAAATGAATTCAGTAAAGTAGCAGGATACAAAATTAATTTTCAGAAATCAGTTTTATTTTTCTACACCAATAAAAAACTATCAGAGAAATTAGGGAAACAATTGCATCAAAACACAAAA